CATCCTTATCAGTCTCCAATTATGGAATACGATTGCTGTGTTTCATACGCCACAAACACGTACTACGGTGAGTGGAAAGGTACCCTTCTGATATGTTGCGTGTGACTTTGAGTGTCGCCGAGAAATCAGCCGTGGAGCTACTCTTGCCTCGAGGGATTTGTGTAAAGAAAGCGCCTTTGCAGTATGTCGTTGCCAAGTGCTCTATATCTTGCGGAAAGTGCCCAAAAGTGCAACTTTAGTTTTTCATTCGTCTCTTAATTAGTTTAAAATTCTTATATTTTAAAATTATTTAAAAAATAATTGATATGTTTATATTTCTTAAATACGTGTACTTAACCTATATACTAATTATATATAATGTCCAAATTATTTTACATTTCCAAGAACAATTGTGGCAATAAAAGACAATTTTCCGGAAATTGCTATTCATTTCGCTGAAACAGTGTGCGTTTTGTTAATAAGACTTTCGCCACACTGTGCAGCGTCTATACATACATATAAATAATAAAAATACCTATATATATAATAATATTTATATATATTTATATTACTAATCAAATATCACATCATCAATTTGTCCAATTGGTGAGAGATATAGTAATTTTAGTGTGGGGAGGGAGCTACAGCATACCGCTTCAGTGATAAATATTTGTCTCCAATCGAATTATTTATCTCGTTATGTACTTTCAAAATTCTATGATTTTGTTATTTTAACTTTCGACAAAATTTACATTAGAATGAAAGTTTCTAAAAAACATACACACCATAGTATTGCACTTGAAAAGCCAACCCTTTGTTTTAAATGCCCGAAAAGTAAGCTTACACTCTCAAAGGAAATAATTAATATATCAATTCTAAAGCAATCATATATTTCCTCTGAAATCGCATTATTGCTTGCTTTTAAATGTGCTTATGAATATTGCTTTTCATGTGTGTTAATTTACTTACAAACTATATAATTGTTTAATGTTACGCGCTAGTAAATATGCCACTTGTAAATAATATAAAAGAACCAGAGTAACGAAATATTGTTTTGTCAGAGATAGTAAATGTCAATTGCGGTAAAGTTATAACATTCTTTATTATTATGTCATATAGTAAATGTGACCTTCCTAATCATTTTTTTATTTTAAATTTTAACATGTCTTATTTCGTTAAATTACGCAATTTACAATGTGTAATAAACGCATTACCATTTGTAATTCTGAATTTAAACAATATCCTATTGCTGCCTCTATCCCATGTGACCTAGTTATCAATGTAATATATCATAGGAGATCAATGATAAAATAACGATGATGTACTATAATTTATATTCACTAGTGCTCTGTAAATTAGAATATTATAACATATTTAAATTACGGATTCCCGTTTTGTGCATTGACAATTCGTGAAAATATCCGACGAATCATCGGCAATGAAAATGTAGCATTGGCAACCTAAGCTGTCATAGGGCTTAAGCGTCAGTTCAAAAATGCACGATTAATTATAAAAAATCTTGCAGTACTTATAAAGATTTGTTTCTGCTCCTATCAGCTGTATATGAACACAATATGTGCATTTTTGAAGTAATGTTTTAATTACACCACGTGACTTGCTTTCGAGCCCGGAGCTGATCTCATCATTCGATTAGCAATTCTCGCTACAATTTCTATGAGTTTTAAAATCACGTTTCTTCTAATTAGATTCTTCCCTGGGATTTTCATGACATCTGTAACTCTTGTTCGTCTCATTATTACTTTGAAATGGACGACCAATGCTCCCGCGGAGGGCAGTGGTTGGTTTTGCCAGTAGAAGACATTCGATGAAAGACTCGCTACCTGGACATCGGAACAAAGCATTTTACAGAAAAATATTGTAATAAAATGAAAATATCTTTCTTGGTATCGTGTTGCAGAACATTTTCAAAGTTCCGCTGTGAGAGAGGGGTCTAGTTCAAGTGTCTGGGTACAAATGAATTTGTATTGTGCATATATGTAAATTTCTCGTTGACATTAATGTAACAAATTGGAATTCTAAACGAAAAGAGTGGAATTCTAAACGAAAATATCTAATGATTAATCAGGTACAAGAGTAATGTCGCAAAATGACAAATATTCCAATGGTTTAGTACCAAATTTTCTGACAATTTATGTTTTCTCCAGCCAAATCACAAAATTTAAGTTATTTTTGTTAAGAAAACATGATTAATAAAGAATCAAATGCTATCTCGTTTATTTAATTACTCGGTTATAATTATGAAATCCCAAATACAGTAAACATGCACTGGGCGTTGGAAAAGCCGGAATTTCGAGTAGAAGAAATACGTTGTGGGTCACGTTTTGCCTAACAAAAATTACAAGTATGTGAGCTGAAAGCTTTTTAAACTTTATATTTGAGTAGATACCATTTTAAAATTCGAATGGATGTTGGTACTAATATCAAGAAATGCAGAAGACATAACAAAATTACACGTGCATGGTTTCATTGGTTTGTGATCTAAAGACATAAGAAAGAAGTACGAAAATCTGCGCTCGCTTTTGCCGTTCACATTCTGGAGGAGTGGAATTCTAAACGAAACAACGTAGGAAATATCTTCAAATTTGGTTCTTTCTCCACGATTAAGCGTGATTTTTGACCAAAATTTCAAAAATATTCTTTACCATTAATTTTTTTCATGTACTCTTTTCTCTTGACTTACAATGGATTACTTGAATGATAAATTTTTAATTTCAACACTTCAAAATTTCTGGACAAGTCGTGGATCTTTAAATTTGCGCGGTTGCATTTATACCGTATTCACAAGCTGAGTGAAATGTCCATGTAATTTATAAATCCAATCCATTGCGTTTACTTCTTAAGAGAAATCATAATATGAACGTGACTATTGTATACAAGATACTTCTTTGAGGTTTTTGTTCGTCATGTGAGTGAGAAATGTATTACGACTTGGAGTTTAACTTGGAGTTTATTTCCGCAATCCATCAATCCGCCCACAGTCGTGAAACGTGTATATGGTTGATTAATGACATTGAAAAGTAATTGGTGTTATAGATATCCGTAATTGTTAATATTAGAAAAAATATTGTACATTCTGGATATCTGCTGTAAACAGCTTCCCCCAACTAATTTCATTTACTTTATTCGAAATTGAACATATTGTGATTAGGTGTGAATAAAACGTTTTCTTTTCACTGTGCAACGAATTTCACCATAATACATAATGAGTTTTGAAAGTCAAGCATGCATCTGTTACCTTTCATTTTCCTACCGTGAACTATAACTCACATAATGTCTGTGTTTAACCAAACTAACACTTAATTTGTTCCATGTTCCTTTGATCTGAACCGACTCAGAGATGAGTCAACCCAATCGTGATTCAATGCAGTGGTGATTCAACGCAGGTAAGTTCACGCGTTTGGTAATTCTTATGGATCGAATTGGCTCTCTCTGCAGTGAAAAAGTGAAGCAAATGAAGCCAATGCCTGAGTACATTTGCCAATGCCGAGTGATATTGTGTAGCAAGGCAATTTTATGCATATCTAAATTGTTTTATAATTTTGAATATGTTTTATTTGATCATTCTGTAGAAAACTTAGTCTTTTAACACTTTCTATTTCCTTCATCTTTTATAACTAGGTCCGTACATTTCCAGACGGTTTTAATGAACCCATGCTATTGGCCAGCAAACAAGAGTAATCTCGAATTGTCTCAATTATTTATAGATGCATCGGTGTTTTTCCTTTCATGGCATCGGTTTCATTGTGTTTCATCGGTGTCATTGTGTAAATTCCGTATTCCAAAGTCAAAACAAGGCCACTGTGACGCAGGCGCATGTCAAACGCAGCTCGCTGTCGCTTATGCGCGCAGCGACGATCTTCACATCTTCATTGGTTAATATTTCACCGAGAGCGTCAAGTTTGCTAGGATATCTTTTGTGCACTCCGTCCCCAGGATTGCCGCTTTGTCAGACTTAATATGCTCCTCCTACAGAAAATCGTGGCATGATAAGCCCTCTTCATATTATTCAAATACTTTTCTGCCCTGCAGATATCGTAAAAATACCATAAAAATCAATATTTTAAACTTAATTTAATAAATTAAACAAAATAAGGGAATAATAACTTGTTAACATACTGGTCACATTCCAACTATATTGAGAAGTAACCATTATGTTAAGTAGTGCCGAAATGAATAACTATCAAAATTGTGGATGCTGACAAAAGAAATAAAATTGGGGTGAATTTTTGACACCGCACAGCACTGTACTTGAAGGCGGAGTAATCTAAGATCCCTAGCGGATATTAGCGCCTATCTTGAAACTCGTTTAACACAGAAAGGATGGTAGAGAGTGTCAAATTAACTATCAAATTAAATTGACTACAGATAATACCCCCAAAATTAGGGTACATTTTAAAAATTATTGTTTTTATATATTCACAGTAACAAAATGGATTTCTTAAGACATTGTATAGAGTTGTTGAAAATAAATGTTACAAACTGCTAGAGCATATGGAGGGTCAAAAATGCTCACATTTTGCCCATAACATACGGTGAGAAATCTTATAAAACAACATGACACTAATTGGTAGGCAACTTATCTCGCATTGATGTTTGGCTGGTACATGAACTCTGTCAGTTAGTACGTTGCCCCATTAGAATTCCTGTAGCTGCCAAACAGCAGTACAGGAAGGGTTGCCTAACAATCAGGGGCACGCTGTCAAAAATAGGAAGTTGTGTAACTTCGTTCTATTTTAGATATCTCACTACATATTCAGTGGAAAAAGGTGGTCAACTTTCACCCTCCTCAACAGATTGGAAGTTTATAGCAATTATTCTGATTCCTTTATGTGTATAGAACACGCGTAAACACAGGTTAGAATTTTTCAAAGAAGTATCTAGTGAGGCAAGGGGAACAGCCGCTTGCGCACTAGCAGCCTAGATCCACCCACGCGATGACGCTCTCCCTGCGGAAGGGCACGGCCCGCTGACGTGCGCGCTCTGTTGCAGTTCCCAGCGAGATGGCTGAACCAGCCCTGGAAGGAGCGGAGGCTCCCCCCGCCGAGGCTCCGGCTCCCGCCTCTACCCAGGCGCAAGTGAGCAAGAGCCGCGACCCCAACAGGCCGCTCACGTTCCGCTACTGGTCTCGCCCGACCCACCTCCAGTACAAGTATCTGTACGACTACCGCCATAACTACTACAACGACGTCATCGACTACCTGGACCGACGCTCCCGCGGCCTCACCCGCGAGATCCCGCGCCCGCAGACCTGGGCGGAACGCGCGCTCCGCACCTACATGTCCAGCAGCTCCGAGGCCAGCGCTCGCCGCCAGAAGGACATCGAGCTGCTGAGCAGCATCCGCAGCAGCAACTACAGCTACCAGTACCACTCCAGGGACTACTTGATCAGGAGGTACCCGGCCCTCTCCTACTGAGCGCGCGCTCGCCGCCCGCTCGGGCGCTCCCCGCTGGAAGAGTCGGTCGCCTCTCGCCGCCCACCCGGCGATGCGGCCTGCTGTTGCTATGGAGGGCCCCGCGACCGCAGCCTCTGCGACGCCGCGTCTGCCATCGGCCAACCCACCCGAGCCCCCACCTCTGGCTCCCCGCCCGCCTGCGTCGCCTCCGGGGGTGGCCTTCTCTTCTCAGCTCGCGCAGCGCTCCCAGGAGAGCGATCGCCCAGGCGACCCGCCAGCCACGCCGGGCGACCGCACGTCTCCCTTGTAACCATCGCTAAAACAGCTCAATTTGAAATGATCATGTAACCCATGAGTTAATAATACACGAAATAAAATTTAAACACCTGTCTTCTTTTGTCCCCTGTAAAAGATACGACAGGAGTGCAATGAAGAAAACACGAGAAGCCCTAAAAACAGATAAAAAAAATACCGAAATGTTCTACACTGTCATTACACTTCTAACCTATTGACATCATTCTATGTGTTCATTTTCTGGAAAAAAACACCATATAGACTTACTTTTGTGCTAGGAGAAAGCTTAACACTCAAGTGTGTAGTTGTACTCAAATAGAACCATGTTTGACACTGAAAATTACCTAGATGACCAATTACTTAACGTTGAAGTTGTTACCAATTAAAACTGTTAGATTAAAATGTTCATAGACGATTTGTACTGTTTGTAATAGGGCAATAGATTGGTTTGGTAATCTACTGTAAGTTCTATTATATTGTCAATATTTTTAATTCATTATTAGTTAGCATCACTGCCATCCTGCGATCATTTACATACTCGTGTGTGTGGAATAAACGATGTCCCAATGAAATTATTTTAGCCTCTTCTGTTAAACATTAAAAACTACCACATTCCTCTGTTCACAAATTATTTTTTTAAATCATTGAGCGTTTATACTTTATTATCTGCCACCTTGACCCATTAAATGCACCTAAAAGACACATTTCTTAACACATAAACTGTAATAATGAGAACCTGCAGAAAACATTGTCAAATCAATACGTATAATTTTATATACGATTTGATATATTTTCATGCAAGATAACGCACATCTAAACCGTCTCACCTGTAGACTTTAGATAGTTTGAGTAGTTTCACTTTACGATAATAGAATTTACAAAACATTCCTCTCCTTTAAAATTGTTTTAATGCAAAACGCATCCCCATTACTCTACTAATGCAGGAAATAGAGTGATAATTTTTTCTAAGAAAAAAAAGGAACTAAAGAGGATGCTGGAAATGTTTCAGAATACGTGCACTATAATAAGACAATAAATATTTATATAAAATGTTAAATTATGTCGAATGAGGAAAAAACATTGCCTTTTTCGTAGTATTTATATTTTGATAGATATCGGGTTTAACGCTAATTTACGAAAATATGTATTTTAAAACTGTAATTATGTTGTGTGCTTTGATATCAGAATTACTTTCCCTTTTCCCGACCGTAGTAGAATCAGGATCGTCTATGAAAGTAAATAAACGTCTAAAGTGTAGCCACTGTAATGATACAAGAAGGAAGCAACATGACGCCCCTACGCCTAAACCCCATCTTGATCAAGTTTAGGAGTCCAGTTTCCGTTGATCCATTGAGCAAGTTCTTTGAAGGGGATTAAATTGTCTAAGTGAAGATTCATGCAACAAAGTAGAATTTTAAAAGAAAAACATTGTGACAATCTCTCCCTCCCGTTACCTTGTACAGTAACATATTGCTATATTTCAGTATCAATGAATTTTCGTGCTTTTAATGAACAGTTGAAATACTGTTGGTTTGATGATGAAGCAAGCAACCACAACTTTACAGTGATATTGACTTAAATAAACAGATTTCTCAGAACTTATGAAATGTCACTTACACTAATCTGATTTTCACTCATTCATATGCAGTATTATTTTTCGTTGAAAAATTGTTACTACACGCTTGGAGTTTCGTTACCATAACGTTTATTAAGTATACATTTGTGTTAGTTGTACACAAGATCAAGATTTTTTTATTTTTCACAAACCAGAGAGTATAGATGTTTCAACAATGATTGACTAATGCATTTAGTTTTTCATTATTACACAGTTCAGTAAGATACAGGCAAAGTGGATGGTCGATGTGGCTAAGAGCATGTACTGACAAAGCGCATCAGTCTGAAGGGTTGCGGGTTCGAGTCCCGCCTTGAGCATGGTAGTCTTTCCCTCGTCTCTCATGTATATTCTGTCGCAGAGGGCCTCGTGTCCTACTGATCACAAAGCAGAAGAGTCCACAGGTGTGTTAGTATCTACTGTGTGTTCAAATACGCGTCTCATTGAGACGTAAAAGGGTAACCGGCTGTTGGCTGGAAAAAGTCTTAGAAAAAAAAAAGTAAGATTCGTGTTTATTTGCCACCATATGTTACAATTTTTTGAAAGTAGCTTATCAATTACCATATGCATAAATTTATTGTTTTACAAATAATCTAAATGTTTGATATTTCACCCTATTTATTCATAAAACAGGTTGAGAAAGATTTCTAAGAGTAAGAAGCAAGTGAAACAAAATCAAATACTCATACAATTTTTCTTCAACATTCAACCACAACCCAAGTAATAATTAAACCTCATTGTTGTTACTCATAAACTCAGTAGAGGAAGAATTGATCATCTGCTAGAATAGGTGTATTACACTAAGTTGCTGTAAAACTAAGGTCAGAAACATGCTACAACATCACATACCTTTTTGTATTATTTGTAACGTAATGAATGTGATAATACGCAACTTTTACCCCTTATTCTCAATTCTGTATACATTAAGCATTATCAATGCAAGGGTATAATTCGCAAATCAGATCAAAACTCCTTATTCACAATGATGAATTTGTTGTGATCCCAACAATATCCTAATTTTGATCTACGGATAATATATATCTGATTTTGGTGTGTAATCCACGGGTTACCCTTGGTTACCCAAGTAAACTATTGATGACTGCAATTCTTATGAATTTGGAACTGATGACTGGAATTCTTAGAAATCAGAGAAACCTTGTATTTGTTTCTGAGAGCAAGTGAATGATAAGGATGTGTTATATGAAGGGGACTTTTGGAGAAAATATCGGTTTGACAAATTTATTGACAAGCATCTAGTTCTGTAAAGACTTTACTTCACTTTTATTATTAGTAGCATAAATGCATATTTGACAGAGAAAATGTTATGACAAATCTAAAAGGGAAAGAACAAACAAAGGATACCATCTGAGCTCTCACAGGCTTTTTAGTGTTGCAGGAACTCAGACCGACTTTTTAAATATATTGAAACTTCATGGACTGCGTGGACCACCTCAGATGTTCCCTGCAAATTTCTCTTGAACCGTTGCAGATACTGAGATGCGGTTTTCACTAAAACTACGAGCAAGGGGCCCATATGGTCATGTATAATATTATTCTATTGCATTTTTATTACAGAGATATTGACCCAACTTCTATTTTTTAAATGGAACCATATAGATTTTTTAGCTCATCATAACAAGCGTGAAGAGACGAGTTCATAAATATGCATATCGCCATATGTTACATAAAATTTTCGAGAAATTAAGTTTTAAAGACGCACGCCGACCGTTGGTTTCCGTAATTTGAACGAGTGATATGCGGCGAGGCCATTCCCTTCCGTCGATCCTGCGGTAAATGTAGTGATGCAATGTGCAAAGGAACTCACGAAAACCCGCGATTTGCTCTTTAAGACAACACCCTCTCAGACCTGGAGACAATGTATTCACCCATTGCCTTGTTCTAAGCAAATCTGTACGCCACAAGGTTCTATTTTGTAATTAATTAAATACTACAAAGTTTGAGAAAATATTTGAATTATCAACCGTAGAAAAAGCAAGGGAATATTGGATAGTGAACATGTTCTGAATTAATAAATGCGTGTGCTGTCAGATACAAAACGTTTACTCTTTGAAAGACTGGAAACCTCAGATGGTACAAAAATATAGTGTAAATAAAAGTAAGAAAAATACTTTAAAATTCAGAAACAAACGGTAAGTTAACAATTGTAGAAATAACTTAATTTATAACATCTACTCAATATGTGCACAATCAACGGATATACACATTTGAAGACGCTTGTAAAGAGACCTTCGAACAGAATTCAGAGTTCCGCGTGGAATGGCTTGACAAGATGCGGTAATGCGGCGCCTCAAATCTTCAGACGTTGGTACTTGTGAGTAAACTTCGTTCTTTATTATTCCCTGTATAAAATAGTCCAGGGGCGTAAGATCAGGTGACCTTGCCGGCCAGCTTACTATAGCACCGCGCCCAATCCATCGTCCGGGGAACTTCTCATTTAGCAGTTGTCTAGCCACAAGCGCGTTGTGGGCTGCACATCCGTCATGTTGCATCCACATACACTTTCTCACATCCAGGGGAATTTCATCCAGAAGCAGCGGCAATGTTTCACGAAGAAATCTTGCGTATTTGTTTCCTCTCAAATGTCCATCCATGAAATAGGAACCTATGATGGTGTCGTTAAGAATACCGCACCAGACATTAATACTCCACCGCTTTTCGTTCTCAACTTCACGAAGCCAGCGAGGATTGTCCACTACCCAGTAGTGCATGTTGCGTAGATTCACCTGATTCGTAAATTTTGCCTCTTCGGTAAACATAATCTTCTTAAAAAAGTCCTGATCATCTCGCACGTGTTCCAGAGCAAAACGGCAAAACTGAACACGTTTCTGGTAATAACCATCATAAAGCTTCTGGTGCAACGAAATGTGGTAGAGGTGAAACTAGTTAATCTTCAAGATGCGGAGGGCACTCGAACGACTAATGCCGGAATCAATGGCAATGTTTCGAGAGCTGATATGGCAATTGTTGTGAACAGCTGCAACAACGGCGGCCTATGCTTTCGCATTCGTTGCCCTTCTGTTCCGCAAACGAGTTCCGCAAACGCGTTCCAGTCACCTCTCTGCACAAAGCGTTTACAGATTCTCATTATAGTCCGGTGCTCGGCCGACGCAACGGAAGGGAATGGCCTCGCCGCATATCACCCGGAATTTCTAGTTCAGATTACGGAAACCAGCAGTCGGCGTGAGTCTTTAAAACTCTTAACTTTTCGAAAATTTTGTTATGTAACATATGGCGATATGCATATTTATGAACTCGTCTCTTCACGCTTGTTATGATAAGCTAAAAAATCTATAAGAAGCTATAGGGTTCCATTTAAAAAATAGAAGTTGTGTCAATATCTCTGCAATAAAAAATGCAATAGAATAATATTATGCATGACTATATGAG